TTGAAGAATTGGCGTTAGAAGAAGTTTAAGTTTTAAAAATTTGGCTCTCAAAAAAAATTTCAACGGTTGTACTGTTGATATTTGGCTCTGTTGACTGATGAGTTTGCCGACCACTGTCTTAGACTATCAATAAGAATGTATCAGGAAGACAATCACTAACTTCAGTAAAATAAACTCAGGAGATTTCCCATTCGTAGGCATTGAAGATACTTCTGGTGTTTTTAGGATCTCCCTTAAATACAAAGGTAAGTATGGAAGAGTGAAAAATACAATTTGAGTATCTGACTTCCAAAGTAACACTTCAGTTGAATTTTGTGGGATCTTCTGGTATTGTTATGTGCTCAACTGTGTTTTACCTGACTCTAATGTTCCTTTAAAAATGAATCTGGGTCAAATAAATGTGGGCAAAATATAGGACACAATGAAGTTAAACAAGTGTTTTTCCTTAGGAACTTTCCAGGGGCTCTAATGCACTGATGACGTACATTATGAAGACTATTTCAAATCGAGCAAAGAAAATACTGTCTCTAGAAGATGCTGAATGACAAATCTATGTCACATTTATGTTTCTATTTCTAAATCCATAGCTCAGTGATAGCAGATTAGCATATGTAAGTGGTCTTACTATGTAATTTGTTTTCTCCTGCATTGAATATGAGTAATTAAGAGGAATCTTAATTAGCTTTACATCTCTACAGACATTCTTTTCGGTTTTCTTGTCAGAGTACTTTCATTCGGTAGCATTGTGTCCTAGAAAGGACGGTATTTCTTTGAGCGAAACTGTGAATAGAAAAACAGTCTACAGAAACTTCTCAAAGAGCCTGGTGATTTAAATAAGAAACATTCAAATTTCTGAATATAGTTAGAAATTATATCAGGACAATGGAAATCCTTCAAAGTTTCCTGAAGGTCTTACAGCACATTCCAGTACAAATGTAAATTGAATAAAATATTGAACTTAAAAACAGTGAAGGAATTTTGCAGAGAAAATTCACTTTTAGACACATTGGAATCATGATTTGTGTTTTTTTTTGTTTTGTTTAAGGTTTATGATCTGACTATTATAATACTTTTGGAAAGAATTTAGCATACGTTCTCATGCAGTTTTTGTTTTGATTTCTAGCTACAATGCTGTTTGCCAAATCTTAGCAATGGAAGAATTATCATATATAACCCCACTCCCCATACACTAAAAACACAAACAAAAATCCTCAACACCTTTATGAACTATAAATCCTCAAAATTTTAAAAGTGACATATTTATGTATCTGTACTTGGAAGTCTCAGATTATACTTCACTTAACATATTAAGCACCCAGGTACTTTTTTTTTTATATCCAGATAATTTAAAAAATAAATTTATAATAAGAAAACACCCAAATACTACATTCTCAAGGAGAAACACAGCTGGCACCATGCTATGGGACATATTATTATATTGAAATTAATGAAAAGTATACATTTTAACTGATTGTTATATCAATTAGAGTGAATATAGCCCAGTTAATATAAATAATCTAATTTTCTAACAAGATGGATTTTGATTTCTAAATATATTTTGTCAATTTAGAATTTTCACTGACAAAGTCTTACGAAACTAGCATAGAAACCATTTCAAGCCTACCCGTTATCATAAGGTATGTAAGAGCGAAAGGAAACATATATACTCATTGCTAAGACATATAGTTGGACCAACTATAAAAATGTGAATGTGTTTTAAAATAAAAAGAAAAATTAGGAGAATTAGGAAAATAAAAATTAGGAGAAAAGCTACTGTTTACTGTTTAGATAAAAAAGAATCCTATAATTGGGTGGACAACATCCAACCATCATGTATATTCTGTGGTTTGGTGTCTTTATCTTTTAATTCAAGAGACAGAATGCTGTCATGAGTTTGCCTACAGTAGACAAAAATAAAAATACAGTAACATATATCTATGAGGACTCTAGATGTATAAATTAGAGAAGGACACATAAAAATATAGGCAATTTCCCATACATGAAGATACGAAATAACATACCTTTGGTTTTTTCCTGTGCCTATTTTTCAAGAGGCTTTCTATTTGAGATGATTAGTGTCAAAATATACCCTTGGTATATGATTAAAATAAGCAAAACATTAAATTCATAAATAGTATGAAATATATCTTTAAGAGATATACCCATACTTAGAATTATAAATTATAGTTCCGTGTGAAGAAATGTCCACCTCCATACTTTTTTTTAAAAAAAACTTTTAGTAGATTTTTATTGATTTCGGAGAGGAAGAAGAAGGAGAGAGAGATAGAAACATCAATGATGAGAGAGAATCACTGATCAGCTGCCTCCTGCATGCATCCCACTGGGGATCCAGCCTGCAACCAGGCATGTGCCCTTGACGGAATCAAACCTGGGACCCTTCAGTCTGCAGACCGATGCTCCATCCATCGAGCCAAACCATCTAGGGCAACCTCCATACTTTTAATATAAAGATACTTGTCAATAGTTGTTTCTTGAGAACACTGAAGTCTTTATAAATTCAAAACATTGCTTGGGAAAATGGCTTAGTATCTGAAAATTTAATTAAGCCACCACACTGTCAGCAATATGTGGCCAAAAAAAAAAAAAGTATTTGAATTGTTTTAAATTTCAAACATCTTTATTATGTGGTGCCAATAAAGTTAATAGACCTGACTATTTCTCTGCTATGACTAAGTAGTCAAGATGGAAATGCTTCCCACACTGCAAAAATAATTTTTAGTGTGAAAAAGGAAAAATGAGTGATTATGAAGGTGGTAAAACATTAAACTGTGCTGGACAGGGAGGCTGCTGCACCTGTACATGTAGAAATTAATAAAATGAAATAGTACCAAATAGTGTAGTTTTGCCTGTAAGGCAATCCCTAGATTTCCTCCTGTATTAGGATTTTATGACTAGAAATGACAATGTTATGTAATGAATATTAAAATTTCTTTCCCTCCTATACCTAAACAGATTATTTGGATAGAGTTTGTTGCTCTGTAAATTTTTGCAAATGGTTCATAAAATATGAGAAGGGACTATTTAGTCAATTAGGTCATCTGATTGCCTAATCATCCTTTGGTGAATTGAAAAACAAATTACAATATTGATTAAATCTAGCTGATGGAAGAAAATGCACCAAAATCACTATCTAATTCAATCTATTGTGAAAACAGCAATCCTCGGGTTTCTATATTTACTAGTGTGTTCTTTATATAATTATTTAAATATGTAGATGGACATGCCAGATATTTCATTGTTTTCAGAGTAAACTAACTGGTCAGTGACAATTATAAGAGGAGGACAGATACTTATACAATACAAGACTATAATTGGCGAGAGGATCTGCTGGCTGAAAGCCATGAGCTACGGTGGAACATCAGGGGTAGGAGTCCAAACACTTGGGATCAAGCCCATAACCATTGGTTATTAGCTGAGTGATCTTGGTAAGTCAACTTGTCTCCCAAAATACACATTTTTTTTTACCTTAAAAATAAAAATATCAATATCTGTGTTCTTTTCACAGTAATGTTAAAGAAATAAAGGAGGGCAATTAAAGTGATTTTCAGTTCTGATGTTAAACATAAGGCATTATAAATTAGGCACTGTGGAAATGGATTTACTTTTTGAGACCTCAATGATATAGAATTCAATAAAGCAATTTGAGCATGGGCAATGACCTGGAGGTCTAAGAACATCAATACCCCACTCACAGGCCCTATCATACTGTAATAGGTATTAGTTAATAGCATATTACAGTTTACAAAACTCATCAATATCTTTAATTTCATTAATTGCTAATTTATTCCTGTAAACAAAGGCACTAATCACATATAACAAATAAAGAATTTAGTATTTAAAAATCAATATAGATTCTTGGAAATAAAACTATGAACCCATGAGGACAAAGAAAATATAAATGGGGTGAGTACCTCACACAATGCCTGGAATATAATATGAAACCCTGAAATATTTGTCATGCAAGCTGAATAAAAAGTCATGTATCTTCATTAATAAGAATTCAATGAGAATTTTGAAAATGCAAATGGACATCCATAATATACTCAAACTATGTTGCCTGACAGTTAAACAATGGAAACAAGATATTTTTATCCAACAGAACTCATCAAGTGACTACTACCCATGATCTGAGGAAATCAAGTGGCACAGACCCAGTAACGCCTTCTTGCTGTCATACCTAAATTAAACCACACAGAACATGCTCATTGTCACATGGTTTCTCTAATGTCTGAAGGAGAGTATTTAACTACAAGTATTAATTTATAATGCTTCATTTTAATGCAGCATTTTACATTTCTCCAAATTTTGTTGTCATACATTGCCACATGTGATGGTTAAAATCCCACTGCAAGATGGACACAAGGACATGACAGCTCTGGAACACACACAATGGGGCTTTCTTATTTAGGAGGTGCCAGGTGGTGAGCCTGGGTGGTGGCCCTAGCCATTTCTACAGCTCATCCTTGATCACATTGTCCAAGATTTGAACCAGGCATGGGAAACAAAAGTTCTACAATAATATCATCTGGTTACTAATGTGTCAAGGAGACACATATCATCAGGAAAAAAACAAAAACAAAAACAAAAAGACATGCAGACTCTATAGAATCACTATAACTAGATAATTCTTTAAAAATAGCAAGCAATATTTTATTAATTTGTGTATGAAGAGTCACTAGTTACAGTAGTACTACATGTGGTACTATGGTTTAAGAAGTATACTGATATCAGATAAAATTTTAAGTTTTTAAAAAAATGACCATTGAAAACTGCTTGGACCATTTATTTTAAGAAGCATTTCAATGTTAATGTTAATGTTAACTGCCAGTCAATATTAACTGCCATTGGTTCCTATACATACCTACATGCACATATACATGCACACATTTTAATGAATTTAATAATCAAAGAAGTTTGGAAATACCCTCTATAATCTTAAAGGAAATACATTCAGAGAGCATTCCATAATTTCAACTTACCTTTTGTGGCCACTCGAACACAGTCTATTTTGGTTTCCTGTGTCAAAGAAAGAAGGGGAAAATCACTATTCATGTTTTATTTAAAACAAATGAAAGTACCTGCAGTTCTATGTAAATACTGTTAATGAAAGGTCTCATTGGTCCTAGAGTAGCATTAATCACATGATGGCCACTCCTTGAACCAAGATCAGATACACCTGGCTTCAGCCCAGATGGTGGTGGGCATTTCTAGAGCAGTTAAGGAGCCTGGAGCAACTCCAAAATGTCTCTGCCTGGTGGCCCCTGGCCTCCTTCTGCAGACTCTCACTTGCTCCCTGTGCAAGCACTCCTGAAGATCTCTGTCCCAGCTGCCCTCTGTGTTCACAGGCAAGGTCAAGTCAGGGAGAACACCCAGACCCTTGCTGTGCAGGAGGCAAACCACTGTCACATCTGGGAAGCATGCCTTCTAGGAGACTTTACTGTCTTATCAGAGTTCTGCATTGGTCTGAACACGAAAGGGAAACTTTTCACAACAACTCGACAGATTTTATTTTGTTAACATCTCATCTTTTTAAAGCTGTTTTCTCTTTGGGAAAAAAAGATACCTAATTTAGTCACAATTATAGGAAACATAAACTCTTGGGGATTCGAAGAAACGGGACAGAATATGCTGAAAAGACAGATGTTGTGAATCTCACAAAAGTTTAAATGAGTTGAATGTATGTGTTGTAGCTATACTATTTTCCTGTAAAATAGTATGCTAAGCAGAATTACTAGCCAACTTTTCATAAGTAAAATCTGAAAATAAAAATCATGTTGACAATATATTCTTTTTTTTTACCAAAACAAATATGAATATATTCATTTCTTTTCATACATTTCTGTAGGTAAAAATGACTTTAAAAAGTGTGTGTGTGTGTGTGGGGAAACCCCACATTTGTTTCAATAAAAGCACGCAAAAGCATAACTATTTCTTACTACTTTCTTATTTAATCTATGTTCACATTCATAACCCGAAATAACCTAGTAAACAGCCATCTATATAACTTACCCCGTTGGCTCTGCTAGCAGCTTGGAAGTAAATTCTGTAGCTTTTATGGGGGAGAAGAGGTGTGTTCCAGTATCCGTTGTATGTCTTGTTATCACCAATTGTAAAAGGCTGAGCTGCCTGCAGGCTGTTTGCTGGGAATTCTGCAGCAAAGTAGTACTGTGAGTTCAGGATAGAAGCGTTCTGGAAGTGAATTGGCACTGGGTAGCACTTTAAGATCTCTGTTGTCTTTTTAGTTCTTCGAGAACGTTCTTCCTCAACAACTATTTGGTAGACACTAAAAAAGAAGAGAATTATCAGTGATATTTCATAATAACTGAGCTTATGCCCTTTGCCTCTGATTGTGTAGACCCACAGGATATCCAAAATAAAGACTACACAGGAGAGAGTCAATAATAAGTGCTTAGTACATAACGGACACTCACACAGAACTCCCTCTTCCCAAATAATACAATCTATTGAGGGAAACAAAATTCACACAATTACTGAAGTTTTATATAATGATCTCTGCTATTTATGGGAGCTGGACACTAAAATACGACTTTTCTTACATGTGATCAAAGATGAATGTGTAGACCAAGCATTTCAAATGCAAAGGCTAACAAAGGCCAAAAAAAACCAGGCATGAGGCCCACAAACCATGAGTTGAACATGCCTGATATAGACAATTAATTCAGTTTACCTAATAAACAGATTTATATTAACAGTAAGTCTATTTTTAAAGGAAATGTATTACTTTCATCAATGACACTTGTATAAATTCATGTGAAGTTTTAACAAGTCACAAAATATAATGTGTAATGACTCATATTAACTAAGGTTTGACTTCGATATTTCTTTATATTCCTTTGTTCTTTCCCATATCCAGGCAGAGGAAAGAGAAGGCACAAGAAAAGCAGATAAAAAAAAAATTGGAATTTCAAATGCTAAGGCCTTGGAGTTATAAGCAGTTTCTGAGAGTAAGTGATGAACAGGGCTACTTGAATTATATATAAAGATGGGAATGATCATCCCTCGAAGATGCCTGCAAGGATAGACACCTCATGGAGGAATGGATTTCACACCTTCCCTTCCCTGCCCCTCCAATGTCTTTGAATTCTGAAATAACCCAAAGAGAATGGAAAAAAGCTGGAAAGGACGAACTCAATAAGATATATACATTTACTAGAATGATGAATAACTGTGTGTTTTGTTGAAAAAAAGTTTCTAATACTGAGAAAAACTAAACCTTGATAACAAATTTCAAAAACTGAATCCAAAAAGACAGTCAGAGAAAGATAAATATCACATGGCATCACTTATATGTGGAATCCAATGAACAAAATAAACTGATAAACAAAATAGATCCAGAGATGTGCAGGGTGCAACAGACTGATGAATCTCAGAGGAAGAGGGGAGGGGGCAAGAGATCAACCAAGGAACTTGTATGCAAATATGCAGAACCCATGGACACAGATAATAGTGTGGTGAAGGTCTGGCTGGAGAGGGGGCTGGAGCAGAGTGAAGGAGGTTAATGGGGGGGAAATGGAACATCTATTAATACTTCAACAATAAAAATAAATGAAAACAAAACAAACAAATAAAAAAAACTGAATCCAAATTCAATCCAGGTCTTTCTGGCAAAAAAATGTATCTTTTTCTTACCATACCAGAAAAGCACAGCTTCTCCATTGAACAATGCTGTAATGCTGGAGTTGCTCAGTATTGAGAACTCAGTAATGCCTACCATGCCCGCAGGTCTGGGAAGGCCTGGAGAGGTCCCTCTTAGGGCTCTTGACCCTGTGAACTCTGAGTTTGGACGCAGTGAAATTACCTGTTTCTGGAGTACAACCATTTAGCGCATTAGTGTAATGCAATGCAGTTGCCCTTCAGTTTGTAATTCTGTCTAAACAAAAATCAATTGTTGTAGAACATAGAAATGATTGCTCAGAACACAAATAGTTGAGTGTGTTTCCAGTGTAATGATACAGTGAATTATGAGTAGTGATGTAAACTTAAAAAAATAAAAATAAATACAACTCTCACTTCCTAACATCAGATACTTTTGGCTATATAACATGCTTACCAAATGTGGTAGAATTCTAACTGCATGATGTATCCAACACAAAAGAGGTAAAGTGGACTTTGATTTCTTACCACTTCTCCCTGACTTCTTATAGCTACAGTCAGATGTGGCTACTTTAAAATACATCTGCAGCTCAGCCAGTTGCTCAATTAGTGGTATGTCATTCCATGCCAAAAAGGTTGCGGGTTTGATTCCTGATCAGGGCACATACCTAGTTTGCAGGTTTGATAACCAATCAGGGAGAAAATTGGAGGCAACTATCGATATTCCTTTCTCCCTCCCTCTCTCCTTTTCTCTCTAAAAACAATAAAATATATCCTCAGGTGAGGATTTAAAAAATCTATCTATCTATCTATCTATCTATCTATCTATCTATCTATCTATCTATCTGCAAATTCTTTGAAATTTCTCCCATCAAGAATTGGGTTCGCCAATCTTAATGACTATATTCAGCCAACACAGTATAACAGAGGGACAATGTATAAATCTCAAGCTTTGGTCAGAGAAAACCAGGAGTCTTCAGTCTGGTTCCCCAGGGAAGCTAGCTGGGAAACATAGCCAGGCACCATGTAGGTGGTCCAATGACCCTGGACCTCCCACCCCAGGGAGGCCACATGCAAGTACTCTGCGTGGCAGTCCATGGCACCTACATCAATCTAGGCTCTAACTCTAATTCTGCCAACAACTGAGGTTTTAAATTAATTTCTTTGGATCTTATTTTTTTCCTATGAAATGAGATAATTAGATGGAATTTCTATGGCGCATTTTATATTTCTTATTCATAATTTTTATGCAGCATGCAAGAACTATTACCACAAAAATGATATATCAAAGGAATCAACTGCTTTGCAAAGAGATTCTCCATTAAATAAGATAATTGAAAGCATTAGCTCCTTCTACCAGTCAGTTTTTCCAATTTATTTGCTATACTACATGAATTTCAAAATTTCCCTTTAACAACTTCTGGGAAGTGGAAATATGAATATACCTGGGGAATTGTTCTATACAAGAAATACTAAGCCACATTTATTAAAAATTTGTAAAATTATTTATTAATTTTAGAGAAAGAGAGGAAATGTGAAGAGAGAAAGAAAGAGAGAGAGTGAGAAAGAAAGAGAAAAAAACCCATAAATTCGTTTCACTTATTGATGTATTTATCTGTTAATTCTCGTATATGCCCTGACTGGGGATGGAGCCCACAACCTTGGCATCATGGGAGATGCTCTAACCAACAGAGCTCCCCAGCCAGGGTTCCCACATGCAGGTTTTATTTTCCCATTTTATGATGAGAAAACTGAAATTCAAAGGTGAAGTGCTCATTCATTGGGGGCACGAAGCTAATTAAGTAGATGTCATTTCTTGACCATACTAGCATGGCCTGATAAAAACTCCTGGTTAAGACAGGAATTTTCTACTTCCCCATAACCAATTTGAGTATTGTATAGAGAGCTTCTCTCTCATTTATCAAATCAAGGGAGCCATAGATGGTAATTATATCTTTGACCTCAATTTCTTCTCCTATCTGTACTAATCGTGACATTAACGATTTCCACCATCCAGACTCCTGGATCTACAGTGACAGGCTGGTGTCTTCTCCAACTCCCACTCCCTCCCAGAAACCTCGTCAATGGCACATGGGACAGTGATCACTCACTTCTCAACCTGAAGGGATCTGCCCCCTGGTTCTAACTGCTAGATAAAAGATTAGCAGAGCCACTTCTGGGCCTTTCAAAGATCAGAGTCTGGAATTCTCCTACTATAATACAAACAACTTTCCTCTATTCCTGGCCTGGTCCTGAGTTTGTCATTTAAATGCTGTTTTCCCCAACACACTGACATCTTTTGTTGCTCTCAGCAGATGACCTTATCTCATAAAAAGTCTGAGGTCCATTCATTCATGACCTCTCTCAGGGATTTACAATCTCTTACCCCATTTCTATGCACTCGTGCTCTGGGCCAAATTCCCAGAATCATGCTTTCTGTAAAGTCTTAAAGCTATTTTTGTCATTTTTAACAATATTTCCAAAAGTCTTATAAGTTTCTAGAGAAAGAGGTCTATGATTTGGTCATGTCTGAATCTCATGACAATGAAGTGGTCATGAAATATATATTTTTTTCAATTCTTTTTTATTTATTTTATTGATTTTTTTACAGAGAGGAAGAGAGAGGATAGAGAGTTAGAAACATCAATGAGAGAGAATCATTGATCAGCTGCCTCTTGCACACCCTCTACTGGAGATGTGTCAGCAACCAAAGTATATGCCCTTGAATGGAATCAAACCCAGGACCTTTCAGTCCCCAGGCTGACTCTCTATCCACTGAGCCAAACCGGTTTTGGCTGAAATACATATTTTTGAAAGCATAATATAATCCCGAAGTAATTTCTATTCTCTCTATATTATAATATATGTAATAGTAAGGAGGAAATACATTGGTATTCAAAAATATACTTTGCTTAACTACAACCTAACACTTTATTTTTTATTAATTTCCTGAATACCAAAGAGCTAACAGAAGATGAAATTTCCATGAGAAAAGTTTTGTGATATGAGGATGTGGTATGATTGTAAGTTTATCTTGGATAGCCCACATTGAACTAACGAACCTTGAGAGCATCAAAAACTGCATTTCTGCTTTCTTTATCCTCTTTGCTTACCTCCATTTCTCATTTCCCATCATATTTTTCCTAACTTTGCTAGTATGTGTGCTGTGTATCTGTTTACTAATGTATTAACTATTTTTGAGCACCTATTATGTACCTGGCTCTGATTACTTTAACTAGAACACTGTAACATTTGACATTCTCTAATAAAGGAAAATTTTGTCTTTTAACTTAAATGCCATCATATTATGGATGAATAAAATTAACTTTTCTAAGCAATGATTTTATGAAGGTTAGATGAAATTTTAAGAATTAAATGATCATGTAATGGGCCTCCATTTTAACCAGCTGGTATGTTACACTATGTACTGTATTCCAGATATATTACTTTTTAAATTGCTACCATCTACTCATCTTCAGATATATTAGAGGAAGAACTAAGTTGACTAGAGCAATTTCAAACTCAAAATGTCTTTTCATCCTTGCTCGCAAGACAAATTCGATTTGCAAGCATCCCGACCTCAAATCTATTTGCTCTTTAATAATTTAAGCCCTGAAAGGTCAAGAAGCTCTTTTCTATTTCCCTTTATCAAAGTTCAAGCGCTAATGA